TGGTAAATATTGTTGTAATCCAAAGTGAGGGAGGCGTCAGACGAGACAATTGCTAGCATAACCGGGAGTTGTGGATTCTAATTCCGCGAGTTGTTTTACTTATTGTAGAGTTAAAGACTCCGGAAAGCTTGAGCATTTCCCATGAAACTATTCTCACCATCATTCATTGATCCAAAGTTGTCCAGGAAAGCCCAACACCGACTGTGATATTTGATACTTCGTGTCCCTCTAAGACAGGGATACCTTGCGCCAAATTGGCCACTTACGAGTGGAGATGCGACGTCCAACTCGAGACCATTTCCTACCTTGTTACGAACAAAGATGGGTTTGGAATGAGGCAGTGGAATCTGCCTGGCCTAGAAAGGAGAAAAGGGGATAGCTCAAACACGACCATTAACAAACGCCCGATTGAAGCCACGACTGAAGCCGAGCACCAATGTACAAGTGGCTAACGGTCTCAGACCGAGATGGTGATCTCTGCGGTGGATCCTTTGTTAAAGCTCTTGTCAGAGAGTTTCTTTTGATGAAGATAACTTTAAACCATAACGGGTTCCCACTGGGATCGGTATCGAACCCTGCGAGTCAATGAAGTTTTGAAGGGGGTCAGGAACGATCAAGGGTTCGATTTGGGGCCTTATATCTGGCAATAAATAATAATAATAATAATAATAATAATAATAATAATAATAATAATAAGGTTTAAAAGAGTTAAAAAAGCCATTATTTCGCACAAAATTTCATGAAAAACTACTCATATTTTCGAAATATTGATCATGACCTTTTTTCAACATCTCCTTAAAGAACAGATTTCATGAAGGGAAAAATTTCTATCTTCAATATTGTAGTTGTAGGAAGACGTCAAAAAATGCACTTTTTCAGTTTTCGAAAAATTAGAGATTTCATAGAATAGAAAATAAAATGGAAAAAGATTTCATTGACTGTACGCTATGTCCGCGCTTGACACATGCCCGTCGTGCGTTAGCCAGTAGAATCTCTGGCTGACTGCCCGCACGCAAGACATCGATTTCCACTAACATGTTAGCCGCGTAGCCCGTTTGTTTACTGTTTTGTGGTAGAGTTAACATGCGGAGAAAGTGATGATTATTTTGGAAGTATTTCTTTTTTCGTTTAAATTAGTATGCTGCAGAAGTTATTTGATTTTTTTATATTTAATTCATTTTACGTTTCGTCAATTTTACGTCTAATTAATTTTCGTTAATATTATGACAAATACAGTGAATGAACAACTACGTACATTATTTAACCGTCTGAACGATGTAGACAAGAAATAAACTTTGGACAATGGTCGACCTATGTAGAGTACGGCTGTAAATCGTGCAGGCGAGAAAAATGCAAGAAAATCCAATCCTTGGTGGGATGATTTACACAAATGGCTAACAGGTAAAGTTAAGCTTCATTATAGCCCATGAGTTTTATTACCGATTAAAGAGAGTATTTGCAAAAGAGATGCATATATTGATATGAAAAATTTACCAAAAGCTAAACAAAGACATAGAATGTCAAAAGATCACGTATGTAATTCAGTGAATCTTAAAAGCTAGGGAAAAAATTGATTCTGATTTCTGAATTATTGTCAGGGCAACACTCCTTTAGAATCTGAAAATCTTGAAATCAGGTCTGCGTGCGCTTCATGAAAATAATGCTTTGGAATGTGATTATATCAATGAGATAATTGTATTGAATAAATTGAATAATAGCTATTATCATACCTAAAAATGTTATGAGTGTTATTACCGCAGAGGCCAGAAGCAAAACATCGAGGCGTAGCGTAGCGGAGCCGAGATTCTTAATTTGGACGAGGCAGTAATAACACTGTAATATTTCGTGGTATGTTCTGTTGCTGCGGCACGTTACTACGATATGGTGGGGTGTTGCTTGCGTTGTATCTATTTAAACAATATTCGTATACCGTGATCTGAGAAAAGATGGATGCAAATAATTCTCCTAAACCTAAAAAAATACTTAAAGAAATGAAGTTCGATGCAGATGACGCGTCGACTTCAAGTGGCTACACCTTCAGATCGTCAATGATTGCGATTACCTGAGACGCGTTTCATTTGGTTGAATAAGTGGAAAATGAGGTTAATTTGCCTAATACACACTATTTATTGCGCTATTAATATTACAATTAACAATAATTATCCCAAAAACTAATATAGTTAATTTTATTCTGAATTGTTTGATTCTGATTTGTACAAAACATCGCCAGTTTTTTCTTAATAAACATTTAACGTCCGATGAATCGATGGTTGTTTATTTCCGTTGCTAAGGTTACCATATGTCCATTACGGAAAAAGAGGGCATCTCTTATAAAAAAGAGAACACTTCATATTAATTTATTTGATATAATAATTTATTTTTCGTGAAGGCAAAATGCTTGCTACCGACAAAGTAAATACTTCCATCATTGCCATCATTTTCACAATCACACAATAGGCCTACTTCATTATCACTTTCTTTTTGTCTTTTATACCAGAAGTATTTTGGTAGATGATGAAATCTCCCTCAGCAATTTAAACTTTGCTTTGAACCTTGCAACAAACGCTTTGAACTTCAGTATAAACTCCACACGCCAGCAGAATAGTATTAACACTATAGAGCACGGAATGTATAACCAGCATCGCCATGAACAACTGTGTACAATATGTTGTAGCAGCTGATGGCAGCACTGTCACATTTCGTCGAGAAAAGGACGTAAAAGTAGAAATAACATCTACGGATTTTGATGCTTGTTAAGCGGGATTCAGTTGAAGGTAAATGCTATTTGCTTTTACAACAATGAAATGTTATGTCAGGAATTCGAAAAAGTTGAAAAAAAGCGCAGTATTTTTCGTATAGCATACGTCTAGGTTGCATTTAAAAGTAGTACTCCCTTTCCAATAAAAAAAGGGGACATTTCGTCGTTTCTTGTGAATCCACCCGAACAGTTTTTCTTACTTCAAAAAAAAGGACATGTCGGAGGAAAAGAGGACGTATGGTAACCCTATGCTAAGGATGTTAAGGTAGGGATACACAGGTAGGGACAAGTGTACTTAACAAATCTGTAGGGTTGCATGTTAACAGGGGGCAAAGACGCAAGTGACTGATAAAATTACAAAACTTAATTGAGATGGGGCATGGCCCATGCCCCATCGCGGGGTTCTCCGCCGTTCAGTAATCTGTTTTGACTACCCTGAACATTAGTTCGCGTGCCGCCACTGGAGTGTACACCTTAAGAAATCGACAATAATTTCAACATAACTCTATCAAGAAACACACTGGTTGTGCCCCTAATGCAGTGAATTCAAGCTTTTACCATTTCTTTCTAAAATAATACTAATTGGGAATATGCTAGATTTTATGCTTTGGCTCTCAGGGTATGGCGATAAGACTTTAGATAAAAGAAAATAACTTGAGAGCAGGCTGTTATGCTTCCTATAATTTATTTCTGACGCAAAATTGACCAAATCCTCTAATATCAAGTAATGAATGTTAAGATGTTTAAAACTGATGTTTTTGTCCAAGCATATTTGACGAGCTTCTAGCATTAATTGTTTTTCTTTAATATTATATTACATTATGTCAATACCGCAACCAGGAGAGGTAGGAGTGTAATCCAAATTCGGTTGGAGTGCAACCAGGACTGCAGGTGTAACTTCCAGCCAACTTCGTTTTCTTATAAAGAAATTTTCGTTTACACTGAATTAATTTTCTTTAATATGTTGATTTATAGTTATTTATTAGAAATTTAATTGAGATGTTATATGACTTTCTTAACAAAAAATTAGTAAAATCTTTTTTTGTGAATACAAATCTTCAGCCTACAGAGGGACAGGCTTGGGACCAATGAACCAGTCCACCCCCAATGGGTTTTATATTTGTATCTTAATATTCAGGAACCACAAAAGCCTTGGAAATACAAAAGTTTAAATGAAGGGAGTCGGATATTGAGTAACTGTCATACTCCTGTTAATTTTTGGGAGTTCCTCTCAGTTAATTTTTTAAAATTGAACTATTACAAAACTAACAAAATAATGATATGATGTGGTTGTCACAATTTACAGGTGAAATAAATGATGTTATCTATGTCAATAATAATTTGTTATAGATCATTGAATGAAAAATTTGTATAATAAAGATTAACTTTTATATCTTAAGAATCAAAATTGACAAGCAATCCAAAACTGATTTCGGATAAATTGAAATATGAATTAAATCTCCCTTTGAATTTAAAGGATATAGGAAAATAACATCCCAGAATAATCAACTTTCCCAAAAGTGAATTAATGTATTTAATGACATTAGTTCATATTTCTTCAATAATCATAGACATTTAAGGTGATTGCATGTATGTTTTTTTTTTACTTTGACCAGGAAATAAACCTTGGCTGATTAATAAGGAAGAGATTATTGAAAAAAAAATTTTTTTTCATACACTCTTGTAGTTTCTGATTGCAGGGTTCAATTATTACAAAGTCAGCACTAATTTGTTGTAACCAACTGATTCCTCCCACCAAGAAAATTATTAAAAGCAATTGGTTATTTCAGCTTTGTCAGAGATTTCGTAGACAAAGGCTGGAAATATCAAAAATGTAAATAAAATGTAAATTAGTACCAAAGGTACTAACTGATTAATGACAGAAGATGCTTTGATAACGTATTTTCAAGGACTTTTCACTAGTACCAATACTATTATAATTTATTCTAGGAACTATCAAATTTAATTGATTACAAAATATTATGCACTTGCTTCTATACAAATATCACTGATAGTATCTAATAAAAATCTGAAAGTAATTGTGCCTTTTAGTCCTTATTAAGTTTGAGAATTCTTGTTGGTAATATATTTTTGAACACTAAACTTGCATATCTGAAAGGATGGAATGCAGAAGGCATACTTTTGGGAGTGTTTTTTACTCAACTACTCAAGATGGTGAAGACAATTGAAAGATTTGAAGAATCTTGCAACACTGTCAAAAATTACCTTCACTCATTCTAAGGGGGAAGAGAAAACGGCAGAAATCTATTTAGAAGACAATGAGCATTCTTTTCAATCTATATGTTTAGTTATTGTTTTTATTTACCTTTCCCAAATAATAAACAAAGTTCTATTTTCTGTTATTAAGTGAAGGAAAAAAGAGGAATGACAAGGGAGGTCATTTTCCGGAAATTAAAATAATGGGAATCATGTGCGTAAACTTTCGTTAATTTATTACACAAATAAACCTTTTAATCAAATGCAATGTGCTAGTCATGTACAAATATATAACAACAAATGAGAACATACACAGCGACATCACAAAAATAGAATGTACAGTGTGCAGGAACAGACTTTAAAACAATATACATGCCACATCTTTTGTACAGAAAAATTAATCACCTGCCAAAGGAAAATTTAATTCATGCAACCTGATTGTGCACAAAATGGTTGGCTGACCAAAGTGAAGGAACAGTTTAGGTTTTGGGAAAGCTGAATATTACGGAAACCATTTGAGCAAAAATTAATAGACAATCTGCAGGAACAGCATATATCTTCAATTTTTCCATAAGAAATTGATGTGAACATACACATTAACAAGTGAACACAGGAATATAAATTACTGGCTCATATGCATTGCCCAAATAGCTACACACATGGCCAAGGCAGGCATACACCTGCAGACTCGATTGAATGATATGAATTGACGTAGAGATACTCTACATCCAAATAGATTGGATCACAAGAGAACCAACAGATTAGTATTAAGAAAGAGATATAAAATGAACTCTAAAATTGAGGAAGCAGCTCTGCAGAGCATAAGGCAAGGCAGCCCAGAAGAAAATTACTGTAAATATTACAAAGCAATTGCACTTTGCATGCTACCTGCCCCCTCATACAAATCTACTTCCAAAGAGCAGAAGACAGGTTTCATTTATGAAGACAAGCTGATTTACTTAAAATTGTATTTGACAATCAAATTTGTTTGGAACTGTTGGCGAACATGTGGGCCAATCTACATATACGTAGTATACTATAAAACCCCTTCGTGTAAAGTCATGCGCTCTCTTTCACCTTAACATTCTTTCATTACATACACATTCACGTAAGATTCAGTTTTGTTTTATTCGCAATAGAAAACCCCCATCTCACTGCATTCAGTCTTTATATTTCGAGAGAAAAAACGTAATTCCTTGATTTATTATTTTTTTATTTAGGTTGACGTTTGCATCTGAAGCAGTTAGAAAGGGGTTTTCTCATGGCTATATCACACGAACGAAGTAGATTCAGTAACGTCCAGCGCGGTTGGCGCCACCCTCAGGGTCCAAAGGGTGTGGCCGATGCTTTGGTTTCAGCGCACACAGCCGAGTCCACAGACTCCACGCATCACACAGCACCTCCAATGTCGTTCTGATACCGGGTGGTGAGGTAGTCGGCAGCGTCCGTCAGCTGCCGGAGAGAGCGGTGGAGCCCGCACAGATGCCGCCGGAAGCTGGCAGCGACCTGCTGGGTGTAGTCGGGCGCCTGGGACACTTCCTCGCCTTCGATGCCAGAGTCGTTCTCGATGCCGTTATCGGAATCTGAGTCGGAGATGGAAGCGGCCGAGTTGGTGGACGCCACGGAGACCGTGGAAGGGCGGCGTGCGTGGCCCTTTGTAGTTGTACTGCTGCCGTGCTGGGACGCGATGGAGGACGAAGACGAGACCGTCACCATACCGGAGCTCTTGATGGCGGTGACGCTTGGGGCGGGAATGTCATCTGGCTCGTCACTGTCGTCGTTTTGTCCCCATAGAAGTTCATTTTTGACAGAGTTGATGATGGTGTAGAGATTGAAGAGATCAGATTGACCCATGGCGCGAACGCTGTTCTTACAGTGTTGGGGAGTCTTAACAGGCACGGTGTCCGCGTCGTCGCCCACCTTCAGGTCCATCAGCCGGCATGGCACCAAGATCGTCTCGTCCATGTCGTTGACGGCCTTCACGAATTTCTCCATCGCGTTCATGATGCTTTGATTGGAGAACTCCGTGTCGTCGTGGCGGGCGATTCTCCTCAGGCTGTTCCTGTAGACAAGTGCAAGGGCGGGTCTCATTAGACTGGTATATAACCCTCTCGAATGGGACAGTGGGAGAAGAAATGGACAGAGGGGAAGAGATCTATTCTTATCCCCTGCACATACGCAGCCTCTCCCCCCCCCATCCCCAGCCACGGTTGCTGGGCGCCGCCCCACCTCGATGCGGGCGATAGGCGAAGACCCTCCCCTTCCCCTCCGGCGGAGGGGGGTGGGATGAGGTACGTAGCCTGCCATTCAACTCTCGATTACATGTACTCCCATGTTGGTTAGTTTTGTTATTTATAAAAAAAACAAATTTACAATGAATATTATTTCACAAGAGAAACTAATGAAAACCATGTATTACTGCATTAGGAAGATTCACGAGCGTCTACATGAAAATTATCACAATTTAAAGTTAAGAACATTTCACTAATTACATCGTTTGTATTACCGAGCTTTGCAGAAATTTCCAGAAACAAGTAATTTTCGAACCTGGGAACCACATCGATGGAGGTGTGAACATTATTGAAATATTTCACACATGATAACATTGCCGAAAGGAATCACAATAACTTGTGGTTACATTTTCAATAGTAGCTGGCACGACCAGAATTTTGATATCCACTTAAGCCTTTTTAGTTTATGAACATGCGTTAAAAACAACAGATGCAGTAATGTATTGGTCTTAAAAATATTTTTTTCCGTACAATGAACACGTTTCAATTGTTTATCAAATGATAGCAATATAAACATGACAACCCTATGTGTTTATAAACAAATAACCCAATTTTGATCCGGCGAGCAAGTGATTTTTTACTAATAATGACAAGAAGCAATTGTTTTAAAATGTTTAAAAATTACGAAAAAGTTACCTCAAAGTTAAAAATTAAGAAGGACATGCAAGACACGTGAAGCACAACACAACACTACCCTACCCGATGGGCAGTCACCGTTATACTGGCGTTCGTCCCTCAACCGGTTGCAAAAAGAAAGCCTGCGCCCCACTCGCAGCACCTCACGCCACCTCTCAACTCTGCGCCCAGCCCGTTTCGACACACCCCAACCGCAACGGTCTCCATACATCAGGCACCCCGCATACGAGCAGTCACAATCGTAAGACAGCTAGTTTAGATGCCTTTGCTTACCTGTTTTCCATGTTGAATGCAATGCTGTCGCTGTACACGTTGCTAGTAAGATCACTGAGCATTCCTGAACAATCACTCTAGAGAATATCACACACACGGTTAAAGAAACTCGTAAGGCCGTCACAACGCTAACGAGGCGATGTGATGCGAGCGAATGGTGCTTCTCGCAGCCGCTCCGGCGCTTATATCGGATCGAGCAGTCCTGACGGTGGGGCTCGGGAAGTTACAGCGAGCGACCTTGCACGCCACTGTGCGCTACCGTATCGATTGCTTCACGAACGAAGCACATGCATCCAGGTAAAGGTTTATAAAACTGCTGTTTCATTATAAAGTATAAATAAATGAAGTATAATAATTTTAAAAACACATTTTAACTAATTTTTTCTATCAAATTTCACAAAGAAAATAATTTTGCAAGTTTGGCAGCCGTGGACTTTGGACAGCGTACTCCCGAGCCCCGACGTCACACCACAATGCGGCTTTCCTATTGGCTGCAGAGATTCTCCCACACGAAGCGAAGCGGGAGTTCGCGCGGGCGGAGAGCGGCCGACGATTCTTCGGGAAAAATTGCCGTCGTTTACAAATGAAAATATTGAAGATAATTGAACTTTCAGATGAAGTAGCTTAAGAAACGCGATCTACAATTGATGTGAATGGATGTTCTTACATAATGAACAATGCACAAGGAAGTTCTCACGTCATTTTACCGTTCACGTCAATGTTTAGGTAAATGACCTTCTCAAGGATGTATAAAAAATAAAGTTTATTCAAACCGCAATCATAAACACTGCTGGAAGAATGAGATATATTACACTGTACTCTTATGAATTATTCTGATTTAATTCCATGACATATTATTAAAGATGATTGCATGAAACATGTACTATAATATAGTTCAATACCATACCATATAATATAGTACCAGTACATAATTGATTCAGACACAAATTACTATGTCCAAGTGATTTGTCATTGTTCAAGTAATGCGAATACTGATGGCGAGCGTAACACCTAATAGGACCGATTTAAGATTCCACTACAGCAATATGAGGATTTCATAGTGTGTCAAATTTACAAAACCTATATGTTATTTCAAATAAGCTGATTTTGCTTAAATTTGCTAATTTTCATGTATCTATGCAAATGGAAGAATGGTTTCCACTTATAATTTCTTTGTAAATAGTAAAGAATATTTAACACACATAGTTTTTGCACGCTTGAGGACAAAGATTTAAGAACTTCCATAACAGGAAGCATAGCCTAACAAAGTTATCGAAGTTCAAGGAGTGTAAAAATAATCTAAAAGTTTTGGTCTGAAGTAGCTGGACATAAAAAGTACATAATTGTGGAACAAATAATCATATTTTATAAGGTTGCATGCATTTTAAGAACTTGCTAGACTTTAAATATTACCAACACTTGAGAAAATGTCTCATTAATTCAATAACTTCATTTTATTATATTTAAAATATATTAGTATATGTTTTATATAATTTCTTAGGTAGAATTTACTATTCAAAACTTAATAACATTAGTTACGACGAAATGTTTCAAAATATATGAGCATTTCTTTCAAGAACTATTGCATGAATGAAACAGTTGATTACGAAATAATATAGCGCACTATTAAATTTGCAGTGTTTGACAAATTGAACTCATACTTAAACTACGATTTCAAATAGTTGTTACTTGGCCAAAAATTAATCAAGTTTCCCGTGTCACTCAAGAACATCCATTGTTGAAATCAACAAACACTACTACATGAGGCTGACTGCTCGAAGTTGTATTTGGCCCTTCCCTATTCCATTTTCAAATCTACATAATTTACTCGGTGAAAAAAAAAAAAAATATCGTAACTTGTTTCATGTCTAAAGAAAATATACTTTTTAATATGTTTAAATAACAAAACAATATGAAAGCATATATTTTAAGATCAGGGAAGATTTCTTGCACAGAGTGAACGTTTGCAGTGGCTAAATTCGCCAAAAACACGAGGAGAGATAGGTCTGCCCCCACTGGGCTTCAATAGCCATGGTAATAGTCGCTTTGAGTCTTCGACGGGCGCCCCTGGTCAACGGGCTGTTAAGTCTCCGCACAGAGGCAGTGGAAGGGGACACCTTCGCCTTCATTCCCCCTCCCGGAAGGGTTGGTTCGCTCCTCCGGAACAGGCGTTTTGCGTAGAAGGCGCAAAAGGGTCTCTTCTTTACTTTTTCAGGATCAGGGAATAAACAACCTCGGATCAACCACAAAAGAGACTCGCCGTTCCATGTTGGCTTCCAAAGTGAGCTCCATTCTCTTTTCAGAGGATGATTTAGAAAATGCGTAATTTTCTCACAGGTACGTTATTGATTGTTCTTTCCTGCGGTACGGAGCTCATTATGTACTGCATAACCTCTGGATCGAGAGGTACGCGGCTATAAGAAAAATATATAAACAGTTGAGTGATGCTATTATATGTTCTCTTATGAAAGTAATTAAGGGCGAGGAATAGGAAAACATTTCAAACAGACTCAAATTAACCTCTATTTAATATTGTATATTTGAACAATAATTAAAATTAAGTAAAAAATAAACTCTAATATGCACAGTGGGCGTTAATAGGTTCTATTGATGTCGAACGACAAACACGGGAGGTGGTACAGTTCGAGTCCCGACTGTGTTAGTAGGCTTTTTGACACTAGCTAAACCACTCGGGTCCGGCGTAGGGATGTCTTTGTGCTAACCACATGTACCCCGTAACCCATGGCCGCAAGGCCGGACGCTGCCCGTACGCGGGCTGTCGCGCCAGTACAGACTCGAATCCATCAGTTGATTTTTCAGAATCCTTCAGTAGGTTTCTATTTAGAATATTATTTTCTTTGGCGTATAAAATTTATTGGCTTTGTATGAAAAGAAAACTGGGTAAAATACGGAAATGTGTACAGACTTTTTGAAATCCTTTAGTGGATAAAATATACATTAAAAAAAACCTTTAACGGCTAAAGCGAACATAATCGATTTTAAATGAAAATATATCACAAATCCTTTCGCCACGTGTGCACGCGATCGTCTAAGAATTGGCATGCGTCCGCCAGTGGTATCGCCACGTGCAAGAAGCATGGAAGGCTCTGAAGAGCCGGCCGAAGTGACGACGGCGTCGCACACGGAACGCTGGCGATGGTGGCGGTGGAAACGTGATTCGCCCCAATTCAGTTGCCCCCCCATTCTCAGGCATGGTTTCGCGATTTCTCAAAAGGTGTCGAGTAATGCAAGTGAAGCTCAAATCGACATAAAAACTAATAGTGCAGCACGTTCTTACACGAATTAATGGTATTGATGAGTATGCGATAACCTAATATTGCAACTTTATTTCTACTAACAACATAAAACAACTTCGTTTGAAATCAAGTCATCATTTGAAAACTGAAAATATGTTATTACTAACAGGTACTTTGAAAAAAAGAGTACGTGAAAAAAAAGTGATAAAAAGGTTTAATATTGAGCATTAGGCTGCATAAGAAAGAAATCTCTAGGTTCAATATTGAATTTTTGATAACGAATTGATTGGTTAGAAAATAAATTGAACTGGTGTAAGTTTCGATTTCTAAACTTTCATTGAAAACCGAACCTTCGTGTTACTAAGCAAACTTTGCTCTATTCCAGCAAAAAACGTGAAGAAATATTTGAAACTGTTTGAAGAGGGAGGGAAGGATAAATCTTGATTTCGTATGCTTTTATATTGCTACAAATTCATTCAAATTTATCCGAAAACTACTCGCATTTTGAAAAAAATCGACCCGATAATATTTAAAGATTTAATTTTGAAAAAGATATTTTTTTCAGAAAACAAATATGTATTTTTAATAATGAAGTTGTAGAAAGGGATCCCAAAAGTAGTAAAAACTTTTGCAATTACAGATATTGAATTAAAATTCGGAACTTGGGCATTTCATTGATCGTACTTTTTCTCTATTCAAACAATTTAAAGAAAAAGAATGTCATTTTGAGAAAATCTTGTAAATGTCATAGGGGCTCTTGTTCGCTAGTCAAAAAATTAAAATATCCGCTTCAAATTCGAGAAACCGCTACACCGACAAGATGAACCAGGCCACGCAGTTGCATGAAAATCTCAAGTATGTGTTGTCCCCGGAGGGACGAACAGAAAAAAAATGATTTGATTTTAAAACAAATTCTTTTTAGTATCAGACCCGCACAACAGGTATTTCCATCAAAATATCATCTATTGTTTTGCAGCATTACAATACTTTCTCTCTAGTATGTGCTATGCGGTATAGTAAGAGTCGGTTGACTGGGCACCAAACAAGTGATTTTTTATCACTTTTTACACTTACGGTCATGTAGCGACCACTTTGTTTTACATTAGGGTAACTGTAGGGGGAGCACGACACGCAAGGACAACACAAACACACACGATCATCCATGCCCTAGACGGGATTCGGCTAAGTTGAGTTTGTTGAACCAATTGGTTAATTTGTATTAAATATGTATTGTATTTAAAACTTTATGGGCATAGTTATAAATTACTTACCAGAATTATATTACATATGTAGTATTTTCGTGTGTCTTTCAGCTGCTATAATAATAACATATTTATTTACTCCAACAATAGCTGAAGTCAGAAATGATACAATTTGATATTGTGTGCTCTCACACACTGATGTGAACCAGTTGTAAGGTAATGGATTCTATTAACGTTTTTTGTATAAGCCAATCACAAAATATTACATTTTCCCGTTTTAGTATTTACGCTGTGAAACATGTTTTGCAAAAGCGTCATTCAGTATTGCCCACAACACGTTACCTAAGAGGATACAAGATGACATCATAAACAAAGAATGGCTGTGATGTGTTTGTTTCCGGGGTGAGAGGTTGCTCGTTTCTGAAAAACGGGAATGTTCATATTTGCATCCTCCTGTCGCACCGCACCCTTGGGTCCACACACGAAATGACGCACTTCTCACTTCCCTCCCCCCCCCCACCTCATCGTGAAATGCACCGAAATGCTTGTCCCTTTTTCCTGGAAGCTGTGACTCAGCAGGGCTAATTTTCCTTTGACGCAGTGAACAAAATGAACTAGCGATTTGCATTATTGCATTTGTGCTCTACTCCTTTCAGACTGGGAAAGTTTAATTAGAACAAAACGAATATTTAAAAAAAAGATGAAATCGTATCGCAAGTTAACTGAAATATGTTTAGCCTCATAACAGTCTTATATTTTATGATGATGTGTGTCGTGAATCTACTTGATTTTGTCGATACTTCTTTTATAATA